ATCTCTAGCCTTGTATAGCTGACTCCTAGAGATATGATAGGATTAGTTCTCTTGTCACGCAAGACATCTCGTGTATATATTGTGACCAACTCCGAGGAATACAATTGAGTTGCATCCCATATTCTTTCTACAATTCCCATTTTGAAATTTGAGTTTATGAGGTAGTATCTCATTGACATTGGTATATATGTTGTTTCGTCCACTCTTTTGCGCCACGCATGAAAAGTCTCTCGCCTCTTGAATTATATATAGATCGTATATATGAGAATTAAGAGGGCCGTCGGTTAAGCCTGAATGATGCATGGCATCTTTCGTTTAAATTTTACATATGATTTAGCCACTCTTCTCGCGTCTCGCGCCTCATCGAATCGACATACATGTACACAATCTTAGTAATCCTAAGATGCAAGAGGGAATCAATTGAACATGTCTTCTTTACATCTATTGACTTGATACAAACCCTTATCTGAAAAGAAGAAGAAAAGTTTTACAATCCTATGTACACAAATCGGCGCCCTTCGAAAAAACAAACGACACCCATCTAGCGATGGATACCACTTGTGGCTCTCACTTGATGCAAGAGTGTACCTACGATTGATCACTTGCATACGTCGCATTGAACGGGTGCATCCTACGTACATTTGATTGCATGCAGTGTCAAACGAAAGATAAAAATGAAACCAACGATGATATATATATAGAGAGAGAGGATAAGCAAAACTGATAATACCTCATGGTTTGGGTGCTTGGTGGTGGAGTTGCAGTGGCATGGTGCATGTTGTTTTGGCGCCAATCTAGTGACACGAAGCATATTTCGCAGCCTTGTCTGTGCGTGATTGTAGATGCTACACACACATGCATATAGTTATCAAATGAATTAGTTGATGCATGCATGGAATTAGGTAGTAGCTAGCTTACCTGAGCCTGTGCCTGTTGCAGGCGTAGAAGAAGACAAGGATGCCATTGAGGATACCCCTGATGGCCCGGAAGATCTGCGAGAAGAGGTCATTCCACAAGGTCTTGAGCGTGGTCATGTCGAAAGCGCTCTGTTGCGCCTCCGACATGTGGTTGAGCTCGAAGATGCTGCTCAGAGTCTCCCAAATGTCCTTGAAGAAGTTGTAGCTGTTGGACAGCACTGACCCCGCGCAGGCTGCGACCGCCACCAGGAACCTCGCCGGCAACACCACCACCTTGAGCACCGGCCACAAGGACGACACCACCCGGGCGACGCAGTCGAGCACCACGTCGAAGGGCGCCCACACCACCTCTGCCAGGTCCACCACCAGGCCCCACGCGTGTGAGGCTAGGACGCCGAGTGTGGCAAGCAGCTGACACAACCCTAGGTCGGCCAATGGAGCGAGCATAACACGGAGCAGCGCCCTGGCGGCTTGAAGGAGCGTGAGCAGGCCCTGCATGAACTTGCGCAGGTTGCGGAGGAAGAGGATGGTGCCCAGGTACTGGATGCGGGTCACCATGTCCCACGTCTCGATCCACTCGAAGAGCGGGCCGCAGATGCGCGCCGCCGCCGACTTGAGCAGCGGCACGTTCTTGTATAGGTCGTAGAAGCCGATGATGACGGTGACGAGGGAGGCGAGCACGTAGAGGCTCCGTGCTAGGGGCCGCATCCATGGCCGGTACATGTGGCACAACACCGGGTATGACTGCAAGAAGATGACCCACGACGGCAGCCCAGACTCGAGCAGCGTCAGCAACCGGATGTCTGACGTGATGATCTGCCGGAGCTTGAACGGCAGCGCCGCGTCCCGAGACCGGAACAGGAGCAAGGTGTCATTGTACCTATACTGCTGCATATGCATATGCATATGCATATGCATGGGAACCCTAAGCCCTTCATCCTCCTCCTCCTTCTCCTCCTCCTCCTGATCCTGGCGATCGGTGTATTGCTGCTGCTGTAGGTTCTTCCTCCTAGCCCTGCTCCGCCAGCTCATCCTCCTCCTCAACGTCGCCGCCCTCGGCGTGCACCTCTCGTCGCCGCTGCTGCTGGCTGCCATCATCATAACGTCGTCGCGAGCGTGTTCCTCTTCTCCGGTGGATGCCGCGGAGGAGCGATGGTGACGAGGACGATGATGATAGTGGTGATAGTAGAGTAGGTACCCATGGAGGGAGTGCGTCTCGGAGGCGCGGCCGAGGAACCACTGAGACACGCAACCGGCGGCCTGCTCGGCACTGTAAAACTCCCACTTGTTGAGGTAGCGCGCCTCCAGTGCGAGGGACGTGTCGGTGAGCAGGTCGTTGTAGTAGTTGATGCCGTGCACGTCCCGCCATGACACCTCGAACACCAGGAACCCGTGGAGCAGCGCCGGGGTGGAGTTTGCCACCGCCAGCCACCTTCGCATCGCCGTCGTGATTTTTCTTTTGTCTGTGGTCGCCATCGCCGCCGCCGTGTCGGTGCCACTCCTCGAATTCACAAATGGAGACATCCTGTACTGCATCAATTGCCGGATGCGAGCTAAAGCTTTTAAGCTTCAAATTTCATTTCTCTCCATTTATAGCATACATATACATATATATCTTGCTACGACAAATTAATAGGCAAACATGCATTAACCAGAGACACACTTGCTCTATCCTTTAATTTGTACTCCCTCTGTAAACTAATATAAAAGCATTTAGATTACTACTTTAGTATTCTAAACGTTCTTATATTAATTTGCGGAGGGAGTATATCATGCACATCATACTATATATCTCCCCTATGCATGCATAGTATGTAACGTACCATTGGGGTTGCATTATTTTAACGGAGATAACATCACTTATTATTTTGTAGGATCCATTGGGAGAAGAACAATCAAATTATTTTTTTCTTGAATTAGAGGCTATGATATATATATGATACCACGAGTCTCTCTTTCTTCATATACTAGTACCATATGATATGATACACTAGGACAACTAAATGTCTAGTTGACCTACCATATATATGTGATGTTGTCGGGTCAGACTCAGCGAGGTTAATGCAGCAGAATCAACCAATTAATTAAGTAAGTAATAATGTACCTAGCTAATAAACCAAAAGGATGCATGTGATGTGAGTACCATATAGCTAGGGGTACCTTTGTTATCATGAACTGCCATAGCCTTGCGGATCTGGACTGCTTGCCGGTCATCCATGGCTGGTTGTCCACAAGAATCAACACCTTCTTGCTCACCGGCGCAAAGTAGAGGAACGCCCGGGAGATATAAGACTGCATGTCCCTGCACCAAATTCGCAATGCCTTATTGCCTTATTAACTGGATATATCACCGGCCGATCGACTCGACCAAATTCATTCTTCACACGTAGGTGGAATTAAATCAATTAATTCAATTGGTTTACCGGCCGTACCCAATCTGCAAGCTTGTCAAGGGATATATATCCGGCAGAGGATCCATACAAATGGCTAGCTAGCTCGCTGCTAGGATGACAACACCACATCAAATCAAATCGTATAAATCCGATTAATTCTTCCAAGAGATCTCCATAGGCTCATTGTCGATTGCAAAAGGTTGGATAAGAGAGAGAAAGTCGCTCTTCTCTCCCCCCAGCACGCCGGTGAAGGAAGGAAGGGAGGAAGGTCCCCCTTCTCAACTCCATTTTTAGGCCTAGCTAGATGATCCATGCGTATTATTAGATGCAACGTGTGTACTAAAATAAAATAAGGTCATCATGAATTCATGCATGATATGCTTTAATGATCGCAACTAATCGTTCACGAGGTTTCCCAAAATAGAATCACAGGCTTGCCAGTGTAGGATATTTTTATCATCGAACAAAACCCTAGCTAATTAATCATGAGCAACACTATTGGTCTCCTAGGACAATGCATAAAGCTTACCTTCTTGACCAGTTGAACCACTTCGATACGGCGGTGAGCATACACACACCATCGCAGTGTCATCCCACCATTGCTCATGGCATGAACATGCTCCATTCAATCACTTGCACATGTCCATTCCCACTTACACTTCGTTAAGTACATCACGTTAGGACAACCAGCAACAATAGACCATGTTGCACAACTATAGCTCGGGCCATCGTTGCATTTACGACCAACGAACAAACGAAAGCCGTTGGAATGTGAATTATACTTGTCATGCTCTATGAAACCGTACATGATGAGCTTCACCGGAAAGAGTTGAAGGGAGTCATTTCAAAATCGACTTTGAAAACGCCCTGGATAAAGTCAGGTGCTCCTTTCTTTCACACATTCTCTTTACGAATGCGTTTTCGGTTAACTGATGCAAGTGGGTGCGACGTTTGTCTTAGTATAGCCCTCAAGGTCAATAACGACGTTGATAGCTACTTCGAGACTCAAAATGGTCTTCGCCAAGGTGACCCCTATCCCCTATTTTGTTCCACACTATGACAAAATGCTACTTAATCTTGTTGAAAGTGTTAAAGTAGTCAGTCAGATTAGTGGGGTGATCCCTCATTTAGTAGAAGATGGTCTTTTCATTCTACACTATGCAGATAAAACACTGGCATGATGAAGATCTAAAACTCCGGATCACATCACATCACATCAAGTTGATCGAGTGGGGAAGAAACCCGTCGGTCAGAACTCGTAACCGCCATCCAGAGGACATGCCGGCGTGTTGAGGCATGTTTTTCTCTAGAAAAAAAAGGCATAGTGGCATGTTTTTTCTAGAAGAAAAAGACATGGTGGCAATTGGAAAGCTAAGACGGAGTCCATAAGGGCATGTACAATGGTTGATAAGATAGTCTTATTGTAAGTCGTGCATGTAATTAAGAGATGACAAAAAAATCACGTCTACAATGGGTCATCTCTTAGCCTTATTTTTAATAACTAGTCATTCCTAAAAACATGGTGAGACATATTGTGCTAAGAGATCATCTCATGTCTTCTCTTAAATAAGAGAAGACAAACCTTTTCTTATCAGTTCTCTCTCCTTCACCTTATTATTTATCCTACATGGCACTCCTAAGATAGCACCATTGTACATGCCCTAAGATCAACTCCAACAGTGGCACAAAAATTTCGCGCCCAATAAAAGTTTTAGCGCGCCACTGTAGCATTATTATTGTGCGCGGACCAACATTGCTTTAGCAGCTACCCAAAAAAGGGCGCCCAAAAAGCGCGCAGTGTAAACAGTGAAGCGCGCGCAAGACGGCGCCCAAAATATGCTGCGCGCGATAGCGTTTTTCTGCGCGTGCCCAAAAGTTTTTAGCGCGCGCACTGTTTTGCAGCGTCTGTTGAAGCTGTCCAGGGCCCAAAAAAGAAATATTTTAGCGCGCGGAGCATTTTTTGGGCGTTTGTTGGAGATGCTCTAATGATGAATCAACCAATTATCCCCCACGACCCTCAATCAAAAAAAATTATCACCCCCCTGAATGGGAGGCAGGGGAAAATGGCGGCCACCTCCCATTCGGCGCCGCCGCCCGCCACCGCCGGCGACTGGCCCCACCCGACCTACACTGAGGCAAGCTCTCCTTCTCTCCCCCCACCTCCCTTTGCAGTCTCGTCTCTCTCGTTTCCTGCTGATGGGGAGCTAGATCTCGAACGCAGATGATTACGCAGGCGCTCACCGAGCTGGGAGGCACCTCCGGCCACATCGCCATCGTCGCCTTCATCCTCAGCCGCTTCACGGGCCTCCCCGCCACCCACGACAAGCTCCGCCAACCTCCGCCACCTCGTCTCCGAAGGCGCCGTCCGCGGCTACAAGTCAAAATCGAGATCTTGCTACGCCTTCCCCGCCTCTGATACGCGCGGTCGTGGCCGGCCCTCCAAGCCCAACAATAAGGATATGTAGGATCTCGATTTGGAGGATGGCACAACCGCAACTCCCCTCCCCAAGAATCTCAATTTACATGAATCCAGTGAGATGATTTGGCCGGCCCGGCAACGACGCAACTCCGGCTCCGGCTCCAGCAGAATTATTCTGATCCTGGTTTGGATAGTTTCCAGAGTAACAGCAGCAGTGGCGAGTGTTGGTGTCAAAACCGGCGGATCTCGGGTAGGGGGTCCCGAACTGTGCGTCTAAGGTTGATGGTAACAGGAGGCGGGGGACACGATGTTTACCCAGGTTCGGGCCCTCTCTATGGAGGTAATACCCTACTTCCTGCTTGATTGATCTTGATGAATATGAGTATTACAAGAGTTGATCTACCACGAGATCGTAATGGGTAAAACCCTAGGAGGCTAGCCTGTATGATTACGATTGCCTCTATGGACTAAGCCCTCCGGTTTATATAGACACCGGAGGGGACTAGGGTTGTACAAAGTCGGTTACAGAGAAAGGAATCTTCATATCCGGGCGCCAAGCTTGCCCTCCATGCAAAGGAGAGTCCCATCCAGACACAGGTGAGAGTCTTCGGTCTTGTATCTTCACAGCCCATCAATCCGGCCCATGTTAATAGGCCGGACCCCCGAGGACCCCTTAATCCAGGACTCCCTCAGTAGCCCCTGAACCAGTCTTCCAATGATGATGTGTTCAGCGCGCAGATTGTCTTCGCCATTGCAAGGCGGGTTCCTCCTCCGATTACTTCAAAGTACCTGACTTAAAGAGCAGTATACGGCTTTCCATTTAATGTCGCACCCATCGGCTTCCATACCTTCATCACTCTAGCTTCCACGTGTCGAGCGAATACGAGAGGTCGGGGTATTTTTGCATATATCACCCTGACCATGTAAGAAAGGCATCTATTTAAAGAGATTGGGATCTTTAGATCCATTCCACACCAAGCGAGGAATCCTCAGAGCTTGCTAGGAGAAACCATTCCAACATGGCTAGTGTTCCAAGCTCTTCCTCCCGTCCCCATGGCCCCGGAAAAGGAGATTGGGATAAATGTTCCATATCCCACGGCCAGCTAGTGAAGCTACAGACACAGGAAATTCTTCCCCCCGCAGATCTAGTCCCCGTTCGGGTAGGATTGACTTCCTTCAACGGCGGGGCTCAGGCGGAGAATTTCCCCAATCCATCCAGGGGGTACGAGTGTGCTTCGTTCCCTACTTGTTGAGAGGCGTTGGATTTCCAATCCACTAGTTCCTTTGAGGGCTTCTGGAGTATTGTGGCCTCCAACTGCACAATTTCACTTCTGCCTTCATCCTGCACATCACGGGTTACGTTGCTCTTTGTGAGTTATTCCTAGGTTGTGAGGCCCATTTTGAATTATGGAGGAAAGTATTATGCATCGTCCCTCGTAGCCAAGAGGGATCAATATTTGAAGTGGGTGGAGCCAAGGTATGGCGCATCGTCGGGACCGGATACCTATTTGGTACGCCGAAGAAGGCATCCGAAGAGTGGCCTTCCAAATGGTTCTATATCAAGGACATCGCCCTTCCCGGCCCAGTCCAAATGGGTCTTCCCGAATTTTCAAGCGTTACGTTGAAGAAATGCCACAACTGGCGCCCTCGGAGCCTCGAGGAGGAAGATAGCACAGAAGTCCATCAATTGATTAGCAAGATAAAGATGCACACCCAGTCCGGATTATCAATAGTCGAGGTAATGGCGACTTCCATAGTACGAGGGGTTCAGCCACTACAATACAGAAGGCTTCCCATGTGGCACTATAATGGGGAAGATGACGCCTCCTGCTATGGTCGGAAGGGTCCGAACACCCCCGCCGCTTTGGCCAAAATACTGGCCAAACTAGAATTCACTCGTATTAAGCGCCGAGATAGATTTTCTATGTACAATCCTCCTAGCTGGGTGAGTTCCAATCCCACTACTCTACTCAATCTACTCCCTAAGTTACTTTCCATGGGCATTAATTCATCCATTTATAACAGGAATGGTGGAAGATCACCAAGGGGCTCCACAGCCCCGCCCCCCAGCCAGAGGACCACAACCGGGACCTTGACCCCAGATTCGAAGAGGATCCAGACATATTCGTGACGCTCAAGGATGGGGTGTTCTACCAGGCGAGCGATGATGGCACGGAAGTGGCCATCACCGCCGACTATCCCGGTCTTCTCCCTGCCTCACACGTAAGTAATCAGGAGACATCTCCTCCGAAAGAGCTTCCTCATTATGCCTCACCCACCGCACTATCTCGTGCTCCAAAGGGGAGGTGCTCGGCGCGCCATCCCGCACCAGAGGCAACTCCAAAGAGAGCGGCGCCCGCACCAGGAAAGCTTTCGAAGAGGAAGGCAAGCGAAGACACATCGGAGCCGTCAACAAAGAGGTATGGCTTTGTAAATATTCCCTTTGGCAGTCACATCCAACTATGACATTATCCGTTCAGGTCTTATCAAGAAGAGCGTTCGCCGGACTATCTCCGGGAGTCCTGCCAGTCACGCTCCCAACAGCCAGGTTCTAGACCCTGCCATGATGGCGAGGGCTGATACGGGATTGCCACCGGATTGTCCTTTGGCAGAGAATTCGGATGATGTGTCCATCACAAACTCGGAAGTAGAGGGCGCCATGAACCA